AATGCTAACGCATAAATAATAGAAAAATATAAAAAAGAAAGCGAAAATTAAGGAAGTAAAGGGCATGTAGACGGCCACGCACATGCCAAAAGCAATTAAATTTAACAATTCTTGAAAAGCAGAGTTGGGACAAATCCTACTCAAAAGAAATTTTCGTTTTATGTAAGAAACCTATTAAAACCTATCCAATTTCTTTATCATTATCTCGTACCAAAAAAAAAGCTATTATTAACACGTACTACATTCATATTACTTAACATTTTTGTAATTATTATTAACTTAAAAATAAATAATAATAATAAACGTTTAAAGCAAACTATAATTGTATAACAAAAAGTTAAGAAGTATTTTAAAATAACTATAATCAGGAGTAAAAAGTATAAAAAATTATTTACAAAAAAAAAAAAAAAAGTATAAAAAATTTAACATTATTTTGTTTATCTTTAAATTTTTAAAATTTGAAATTAAGATGCGGTTACAATTTATTTTATTTTTAAAAATTAATGAATGTACAACTAATAATAATAATAATAATTAAAAAAACTTTACCAAAAAATAATAATTATAATAATTAAAAAAAGATCTCAAAGTAAAATCCTTTTATAATAATAACTAACACATTGACAAATACGTCTGTTTGCATTTTTGTCATTCGAATAAAATAAAGGAAAAATTTCAAAAATCCCACTATAAGTTTCTTTAGAATCACTTACTCCCTTCCTCAAAAATTTTAATTATTTACACCCCTACTAAATTTTTTTTTATCACTTACCTTCCTAACTTAATTTTTCATCCAAATTAAAGTTAACGGTGTTAGTCTTTTAAAAAAATACCAACACTACTCTTAAAAAAAAAAAATTAACCCCTCGACACCTTATTGCTCGCAAGAGATAACAAACTATTGTCAATGATCTACTGAAAACTACCATTCAAGTAACATGGATTTTTTTGTTATCTTGTAAGTTTTTTTCCAGCCCCACTATATGTTTCCAAAGGTGTAAATATTTTCAGCAAGTAAAAAAAATGGACAGCAAAAAAATCAATAAAGGACCAATTTCATTAACTATTATCCATAAGATAACATGTCTCGACAGCAAAAAAAAATGGGTTTCCAAAAAATCTGAAAAAATAACAACAAGCTTCAAAAAAATCTCCTTTCAAGCATATTAATCTCAAAAAAAAAAAAACTAGACAGCAATTGTCTTTTCGCTGATTCAAATTCAAGAACAACTCGTTATATCGCTGATTCAAATTCAAGAACTTGTTGGTATATATATATATATATATATATATATATATATATATATATATATATAAGCGTCTATATAATGGTATATATATTCTTCAATCAGCGAATGGTGGTATATATATTCTTCAATCAGCGAATGGTATATATATATATATATATATATATACACGCTGATTTAAGAACTCGTACGCTTATATATATATAGACACTGATTTAATATATATATATATATATATACACGCTGATTCAAGAACTCGTAACAGCGTCTATATATATATTTCGCAGAACTCGCATATTCAAAATTTTACATAATTCGCAAAATCAAAAACTCGCAAGTGGTATATATATATATATATATATATATATATATATATATATATATATATATATATATATATCAGTCCAAATACTCAAATAGAATGGAGATTTAGCAGTCCAAATATTTGATTGCTGTGTGTTTCTCTTAGAACCCGAATTATATAAGCAGCTAATCAGAAGCAGGGGCGGTGGAGCGTCAGAAGATTAGGGCTGCACTCCTCAATGACTATCTATTGCAGCGGTAAGGTATAGTACTGTGTGTTACTTTTCTTTAAGGGTAGTTTTGATTTTTTTTTAAATTAACACCGTTAACTTTAATTTGGATGAAAAATCAAGTTAGGAGGTAAGTGATAAAAAAGTTTTAAGTATGGGTGTAAATGATTAAAATTTTTGAGTAGGGGGTAAGTGATTCTAAAGGAACTTATAAGGGTTTTTTTGAAATTTTCCTTAAAATAAATTATAATAAGAGTATTTGAAAACTATTTTATATGCTCGTATTTATATTCATGGTTTCATGGAGCATTATTTTCCTTTCATTGGTTTGTTAGTGAATATTTATCTTTGAAAATTATTTTCCTGTGGTTTATTTAAAAAGAAAAAAAATCTCAAGAGTTTTTGGTCTAGTGATTATCTAAATAGATTTTAGAATTGATCTGTCTAAAAAGTAGTAAGATTGTTTAGAATCTCAGCTAGTGTGTATGACAACCTTTTCAGAATGAGTTTTTTTTTTTTTAATTTCTGTTCTCGGGAATAAAAATAATGAGAAACTCGTTTGGTAAAATCGGTTTATTTTTTTGTTCTCTGGATGAACCAGTTTAATTTTTATGCCAAGAAACAAAAAAAAAGAATCAAAAAATTTATGTTTTTCTCGTTCCGGACACAAAAATAGAATCAGTTTTCCCTCGCTCTCTCACTTTTTCATACCCCTCACACACCAACACCAAACCATTACCGGCCTTCAACATATTAGCAGACCACAACCCTCTTTTATCGCAGAAGTTCTTCGTCTCCTTCCCTCTCTCTTTTGCGTTCCCACTTACACGTCTTTCTCCTTCACACAAGAACAACATGTATGCTCCTCATCTCTTCGTCTCGCTGAATCTCAGATTAATGATAGGAATAAAAGCTTATTTTGTTACTTAATTTTTCTTCTTTTCTGACCTGTGATTAGAACTTGAAGTTGCAAATTTTTGGGATTTTTTAAATTGGGGCTAGGGCTCTTGAATTTCCAAATAGGTGCTTTTGCGTTGTGGTTGAATTCTAGTGCAATTTGTTATTTTATACAATTGATGAAATTTGTAAACAAAAAGTAAAGAAATAGATTTATAGGTAATTTTGAATCTCAGAATAAAAAATAAAACGTGTTATCAAACGCAATTCTTATTCTCAAAATAAAAATAAAATATGTTATCAAACACGTTTTTTTTCTCAGAAACTGTTCCAAGGCACAGAAATAAGAAAGAATTAAACAGTGTCAGGGAATAGAATAGTTGCCATACGCACCCTTAAAAAACTCAAATCCAAAATTGAATTAGTTAATTTTATTAAGACTTTGGATATCAATTAATATTTTAAAAAAAATTGCCCGAACCTAAACAATACAATTTATTGGACTTTGGGATGCCCTCTTAGCTATTGGCGTATGATAAAATGGTGAGGGAAAAAAAAAATGTACCATTATATTAAGGTAATGATATTTTTCATGTTATAAAAAATAATTTTAACTCTTATACATATATAAAAGTATGTGAGTTTTTTACTTTCTCTTTTCTCTCTCTTCTTTTAGCTAAATTTTTTTATAATTAATTTGGAATATAGTTAAAATTAAATTCATATTTATTTAAATCAGTTATAAAAATAACTATAAAAGATAATTTTTTTTGAAATGTTATAAGATATAGAAAGTAAGGAAAGATATAGAGGAAAATAATAAAAGGTCACAAAATTAAAAAAATGAAGTTAAAATTTAAAATAATTAAAAGAAAATTTTAAAAATAATAAAAATAAAAATTGAAAATATGTTTTGTGACAATTTTAGTAGAATATTTTTTACATTAATTAAATTCTAAGTCACTATAATTTATTTTTAAGAAAAACAAATTAAAAAAAGTTTTACATGTCATAAAAACAATCAGTTCAACATAAGTTAAATGAAGCAATAATTTAATAACTTTAGTCAAATATAATTAATTTTAAAAAAAATTAAAAAATTGAACAACTTTTTACGTTTTTGTATAAAACTTTGAATAATTATTATTTTAAAATAGAAAACATGAAAAGTATTAAATAATGAACATGTAAAGTTTCTTAAATTTCCGTGTCACTTCTATTAAGGTTCTCGTATCCCAGTTGTCATTTTGTCAAGGTGCATGGTCATTTGAATTTGCTTGGAACTTCTAGTAGTACAAGGAAACCAAGAATAGGTATAGGATACCTCCTACCTATAGTCGATAAAATGGGTTTGGCTCGGTGACTAACCTGTCCAATCTGTCAAATATAATAGGATGGATTTATTTTTTGGATGGTTAATGACAGGTATAGACGAGTTGAGACGAGTCAATATAAAATAGATTTGGGCTGACAGGTTAACCCGCCCAATCCGCCTAACAGGACGGGGCAGACTGAGTTTTTCAGTCCACTTTCAAAAGCGGGACAAAACAGACTGACTCATTTTTTGACAGATTGATGGCGGGCGGAGCTGGACGAGCCGCACCTCTGCAGTCATACCCTCCAATACCCGGACACGTAAAATTTTAGAAAAAGGCTGTGTCAGGCACGTGTTCGCCACGGACACGCTCCGACACGGGGTCAACATTTGGGGACACGCGGTTAACTCTTTGACACGTTCCGACACGTTTTTCTGATACGCAGTCAATTTTTTTCGACACTCGGTCAACGTTCGGACACATTTTTTTTTTAAATCTTAATTTTATTTTGTTAACTAAATATAAAAGAAATAATTTATAAATTAATTTTTTTCTGTTATGAAATTTGATATGAAAAATTAACAAAGTACGAAAAATTATTTATATTTATATTTATGTTTTAAAATTTAAATATTTGATTGGTTATATGACTTATTATGGACTCTTATATGTATTAAATATAAATTATATTATATATATTAAAAATTTTATTTAATATCAAAACGTGTCCCAACATGTCGAAATATGACATTTTTTAAAATTAACGTGTCGGCGTGTCGTGTCGTGTTGTGTCCCGTGTTCGTGCATCATAGGTCATACCTATAGAAAGAAGAAAAAAAATAAAAAACAAAATAAAGGATACCCAAAAAAATTTATTTTAAAGAAAGAATAAAAGGGAAAATATTTCCAAAATAAACAAAGAAACAAAAAGAAGAAGCTTCGTAAGCACCTTACAAGAAAACGAAGGCAAGTCCTCCTTTGTTCGTAAAACGAAAGCCGCCCCTTTTTGCTTTTTGCGCTTACAAATATGAAAATCTTTCTCAAATTTTCTTCCAACTTGTTCCTCTTCTTCTTCTTCCTTCATTCTTTGCATCTTCCTCACTCTGTTTCCATTTCATGACAACAACAACAATAGCAACAACAACAACTCTCTCTCACCCAACAACACACACATCTTTTATTTAAGGTTGTTAACAAACAAGTTCAACTTCCAAAACATCACGCTTCTTCTGCTAAGGTATCTTCAACATTGGCGCTCTCCACCTGTTCAAGATTTCATCTTTTTTACGCATTGCGATCTGGGTTTTCTTCTGTTTGATCCACTTCTTCTGATTGCGTGGAGTTTGCTTCTACAATTCTTTTTTTTTTTTTTTTTTGAGTTTTCAAGTTGGTTTTGTTTGCCTGGTTGGAAATTCTGAATTGTTTTCATTTTTAAAAAATATATATATTAAAACTTGTCTTCCAATTTGTTTATGATGAAGGGTCATATAGATATATATTGAATAAAAAAACCAAGCTTGGTGATTTCTTGTCATATATTTCTGTAGGTCTTGTTTTCCTGGAAGTTGATCAAATCTGGGGTTGTTTCTATTTGAATCTCATTGGGATATTTTGGCTAATATTTTGTTGTTCCAACTTTTAATGTCTGCTAATTTCAATGAGTTTCTGCTATCTCTTTTTTATTATTATTATTATTATTATTATTATTATTTTACGATGGGAGTTTTCATATTGCTAGATCTCTTGGTAATTTATATGGTATTCATCTCTCTGTTTATGCTTTTTGGTCAGGGTTTAAACCAGGATTGCATCGCAGACACTGATTTGACAATGGTAAGGATTCATTTTGCTTGCTATTTCATTGAGTATGGGAACGGTTACAGTGTAAAAAAATGTCTAGTTTCAAGGAGAATGAATGCAGATAGATTATGATGTTCAAATGTGGATCACTAATCTCTCTTTGGTTGTGATCACTAGGGAAAAGCAACAGAATTCCTTGTTGATGACCTGCAGGATGGGCCTCTTAATGGCTTTGACTTGAAAAACAGAACTTGCCAAACAACTACTATCATTGGTGATAAAACGGTAAGCATATACAATATGCTATGAAGATAATCTCTATATGTTCTTATTAGTTAGATTAGTAACCTGCCAATCTTCTGCCTTAAACAAAAAGTGGGCCTCCATTTGTTTGACAGTATGTCATTGGTGGTGCTGATGATGGAACTTTGTCCATTGAAGTTCAAATTTTTGACCATAATCTTGGAGAATGGTTAGTTTAAGGTTTCTTAGCTTCATACCTGCTTCTCTCAGGCTTTTGTTGCTGATATCCATTTTAATATGCAGGGTTCATCCCACTGTGCAGGGCACCAAACCCATGTCATGCAAAGGCCACTCAGCAGTGCCTTTGGAAGATCGAATACTAATTCTTAAGAAGGGTTCTAAGCCAGATGATCAAATATGGTTTCTGGAGGTTGGTGTTTTGCTGATCCAGTCCTTAATCTAATAACGAAGGACTATTAATGCTTTGAAACTATGAAACAATGGTAGATTTCTATAATTGCCTAATAGATGCTAATTTTCTCATTATTTGCAGGTGGACACCCAATATGTTAGGCAGCAGCAAAAAAATTTGGGAACTGAGGTTGTTGCGTGGAGTAAGGGTGTGATAGGCAATGCTGAGAAGCCAGTTGTTATTAGTGGTCCTTCTGGAGTAGGTAAAGGAACACTGATATCAATGCTCATGAAGGAATTCCCATCTATGTTTGGTTTTTCTGTGAGCCACACCACCCGTGCTCCAAGAAATATGGAGAAAGATGGGGTCCATTACCATTTTGCTGAGAAGAGTGTAATGGAGAAAGCGATTAAAGATGGAAAGTTTCTTGAGTTTGCTTCTGTCCATGGTAATCTTTATGGGACGAGTGTTGAGGCTGTCGAACTGGTAGCAGATGCGGGGAAAGTAAGTTCCTTCTGCTTAACTATTATTATAACACATCTTATTGGAAGCTTGCTTATCTTGAATTAGAAATTAAATTGCAGGCATGCCTGTACTAGTCATTCTATCCAAATCAATCTGTCTGTAAAGGGGCCTTGCTTTTATTCGTTTTGTTTTCAAACTCTTATGAGATCTGACATGTAAGGATTGTCTTAACTTCTAGAGTTGGTATTTCTGAACCTTGCGGGATATAGTCTTGCTAGAAGCATAGCAGAATCTCATATTGCATTGGTTTTGTTCTTAGGCCACCTATTTGGCAAAGGAAACATAATTTTTATTAAATAACATGCTATAATTCTAATTTCTAAATGCTTTTGGTAATTTTTTTCTTCTTCTTTGAATCTCAATGGCATATATTAGGCCTGATTGATTATAAAAGATTTTTACTCTTGTCAGAATCTAATTAAGCCTTTAAAATACATGCAATACCATGTGTTGTGATCTTGTCTCATGCTGGTAATGAAATTAAGTCCTGTTTGATTATTATGGGTGCTGATATTATTTCCACCCTGTAAGATTATTTTCCTTCAGATATATGTTTTTACTTTTCTCATCTGAGATAATGATATATGTTTTTTATTCAGAGATGTATTCTTGATATTGATGTTCAAGGGGCAAGATCCGTAAGGGCTAGTTCTCTGGAAGCCATATTCATCTTTATATGTCCCCCATCAATGGAAGAGCTGAATAAGCGCCTTCGTGACCGGTGAGTAGTACCTGCTTAGTGATGAAATTTTAATTCTCGACCATGCCACAATTTTGGGCTAAACTCAATGGTTTGAAACCAGAGGGACAGAGACAGAGGAACAGATCCTGAAACGACTACGTAACGCTGAGGCTGAGATTGAGCAAGGGAAGTCTTCACACATATTTGATTTCATCTTATACAATGACAAACTTGAGGAGTGTTATGAGAAACTTAAGGTAACTGCTGCTAAAGCAAAAGCATCCTGAATCTTTCAGAAGTTTTTTTTTTACCACGAATTATCCTGATATAAAACATATATTGGTGCAGAAATTATTGGGACTTGATGCTTTTGTCACTGCTCCACCTAAACCAGGTAAGAATTTCTAAAGTAGATAAACTTGATATTTAGTCTCAGTTCGTTAAAGCCATGGAGATAAATTGATGTGTTTTAATCTGTCAATCTAGCAGTTCACAGAGAGATTAATCTACCAATGGATCATTCAGTGTCAAAAATTGATGATAAAATCATCATAAACTGCATCTCTTCAGGATTAGAAAAGGAATCAAAGAATTTGTGAGCCTTCTGAACACATTATTTATTTAGCACCTAAAGGTGAGTTCAGTACTGATACTTAGTATTTGGCTTTGCAGGATCATGTTGGATGTTTCCTCAATAAAAGGGGGTGCACCTGGTCGGACAAGAGGGCTTGATTTACAAGCCATTGACTCGTTTTCGGATGGCTTGACTGAGATGGATCAACTTAGCTAACATTCAATGGAATTGGTCAACTAACTTGGATTCTCCATTCATATGTAACTTGAGAAAATGGGACACGTTATAAGGCACTAGATTTATGTCTTTAAGCATTTATTTCTTTTTTTCCTTGTGACGTTCTTTGATTTTTCTGGCAATTGAATTGACTTGAGGAGTGTTAGCAATGGCACAATTATTATTCCTTCCATAGGCAATGAGATGATTTAAGATATTAAATTTGTTGTGTATATGTTTTATCTCGTGTTCATGCTTATTAGATTGTAACATTTATATAGTGTTGTTTATGCTAACATGCATTTCTCCTTTTCTGGTAGCAACATATTCACTAGGGGGGGGGGGGGGTTGTCCCACATTTAACTTACCATTATTTTCCTTTTTTTAGTGCTCCAATAGCCTCAGGACGAGTACGAGTACTCTTTGCCCTACATATTGTCTGAGACAAGAATCAATTCCTAACTTCGTGTATTGAGTTTGACAGTCCAAGAGCAATATCACTTGACCCAACCGCTCGGTGGTCCAGAACCTATTTATCAACTTTCTTTGCCGAAATGCTATAGATGCTATGATAAACTAGGCGTAGGCTCAAATAATGCAGAATGATGATAATATAAAAATTACTAAGTACTTTTATGGGAATAAAGTTTTCAGTAGAAAAATGTTGCTAAATTTTGTATAAATATGAGGTTATTTAAGCAGAATATATTTTTTTTTACCATAACGTTATACTCATAAATAATGGTCATACTTTTTGTCTTACGGCAGAGAGTTGAGGTTGTGATATGGCTAATTTAAGAAATTGTATGAACTACCGTTTAAAATAAATAAAAAAAGCTTTTTCTTCATGTGGCTACATCAAGACACTGTCTAAATAGTCCAAGATTTTGTATGGCTGTGCAGATATTTCGTCCATCCTTCATGCCACGGGTTTTGTGTAACAAATAAGATTAGGCAAATAATCAGTGAACAAGAGCGGCAAATTATACATGTCCTCGCAGAAGATAGATTTGAAGTTTAAACACCTGATGAGAACATTACAAAACCCAACCAAACATCATACATACATCTTCATATATATATATATATATATATATATATATTTCCTTTTTCATATAAAACACTCCATGTATCACATGTCTGTCTGAGAAGATTGAATTCATGATATTACCTTATTTTTTGTCCAACCTAGTCATGTCGACAACAAACAAATCTTCAATGCTACATATATAGGTATATCCTATAGGGAAAAAAAATTGAAACTTAAATAGAAATACAAATTAAGAGCTGGATTTAAATGAGCGAAATTTTTTCATATATATAAAAAAGAGAGTACCCATTTGGGTACTCTTGATGTACTGAAGATTTGTTCGTCGACGGAGTGGAAAATATCTTTAATATTATCAGAATATGACTCATTGCATCCTTTATTAAATATGAAAAAAATAATATATTTATCTTTCCCATTTTACCCATAATTGTATGGTTGTTTTCCCCCAATCTCCGTTCTTTTCTATTTTTAGTGCGAAAGATGTGGTAGGCCAAGTGAGTTGTGAACTTGTGATTTGCCGACCTAACATAAGGGTGCTTGTTTGTGTCTTGGTGAGGTCACGTTCCGATTAAAAGTTGGCTTAGTAATGCTCTTAGGTCGAGTCATTATCCAACCCTGTGCTGGTTGGTTCGGTCCATTATGTGTGGCAGAAAAGAGCATGATATTCCAACGTCTTACGGTACCATTTGCAAGTGCATGTTTTGCTAGGTCTGTGTTTTTCCACTTATTATCATTATGATGCCAAATTGCCAACTTTTTTTTTTATTTTTGGGTATCTTTGTGGTTTTCAACCAACGTGAAAAGGTGGGAATGAATGGTCGAAGACAGCATAGTGAGTGGCGCAAGTTGCCATTTCCCCACCGAACTTTTTAGGTGTGGGGACCCTGAAAGCGCTTCACGAGGGAAAGCAAGTTGGGGACACACGCCAGAATTGTCCTCCTCTGTTAACAGCTATTGTGGGTTGGTTATAAATTAAAAGCTTCACAACAGTCAACAATTCACGTGCAAGTGTTAATATGGTGGCTGCGGGTTAATTTTTTTCTTTTTTTACTTATTGCAATCAAAATCTTCTTTGTTTTACTAACATATTATATGAAATTAATTTGAGTAAACATCCTTTTTAGTCTCTGTCAATATCTACAAAGTCCTTTTTAGTTCATGGCAATAAAAAAGGACCAAATTGGTCCCTGAAATTACAAAAAAGGGTCATGTTAGTCTTTATGTCAACTCCCAAATATGTAGAGTGACCCTTTTCTTGTACTTTCAGGGATCAATTTGGTCATTTTTTATTGTCAGGGACTGAAAAGGACTTCGTAGATATTGCCAGGGACTAGAAAGGGAGTTTACTCAATTAATTTTTTCAATTATGAAACTATACGATTAAGTTCTCCTCATAATTAGTTATGTCTTTAAGATTTAAGACTTTATCCTCTTTTAAAAATATAGTTTGCTCTTCGATCTATATGTTCAATCTCTTGTAAGTAGCATTTAGAAATATGTTATGGTATATTTTTCAGTTAAAATAATTTGACTTTGATTCAAATATAAAAGTAATGTTTGTATATGTCAGTCCACACGATTATTATATATTAAATCAACTCCCCCTCCCCCCCAAAAAAAAAAAAAAAAACTGTCATGGAAATTGATATGATTTTAAAGTCAACAGAAAAAAGGTTATCTAATTCTAATCTTGAGTTTTAACACATTACTAACCGATTATGTAATTAAGTTAACCATTTATTAAATGTTATTAATTATTTTTTATCCACAGATTTAATCCCTTTACATAAAAAAATGAAATATATTATTTATACAATTAAATTATTCACATTTCTTGTGAGCACCAAAATGCTTAGGAGTAATTTATAATCGCACTTTAGAAGACAAAAAATAAATAACAAGAGAAAACTGCATAGATTTATCATTTTATTCAGGATACAGACTGAAACTGAGTATTAGAAGGCCCATTTTGGCCTATAGCCCATCTAAATCATTTTATAATTATTTCAAGTATGTGGAGGCCCATGACTTTCCGCTAGATAAATAGTATCAAATCCCCAAAGCCGAGCTTTTAACAAGGCCCAATTTGACCCATAAAGAGTACCAGAACTATTGGCCTGTTTATTGTTTGTGAAAAGATATTCTCACGTGAAGGGATCCTAACAGTTTATAAGCAAATTCACAGCGATGAAAAATAAGAGAGAAAAATTATTAAAATAAGGAGTGACAAAATCATAATCGTTAATTTACTATGAATAATTAGGATCCTCTCATATGACATGATCATGTTAAACTAACACATAAGAGGATCGATTCCATGTAACCATGTTCAGAGAACATACCATATTTGTCTACACATATATATTTTTTTAAATAATGCTTGGTTTAGATTTAATGAAAATCTTTTAAGAAGAATTCTTAAAATCTAGTCAAATATAAAAACAACAAATAGTCATTTCTATCGTATCCTTTTCAAATTTTCAATTAGAAAATAAAAATTAAAAACATAATAGTAAATTTCTAATTCTTTTTATTTGAAAAATGAAAAATATTTATACGAAATAAAAAGTGATAACTACTATATTTTTTTAGTTCTCTCATTTAATTTTGAAAGTTTACAATTAATCACACTTAAAGATATTTATAATAAATTATTTTAAATAAGTGATTATTTTAAAAATTAAGTGAATCCAAAGTGCAAACAGAAACAATATTTTAGAGAACCAAAAGAAACAATATTTTTATTAAAGCATTTATAGCAGCCTGTTTGGTACAATTTTTTTTAAGCCAAAAGTTACATTTGAGTTAATAATAAATAAAAATAAAAATAAAAATATAAAATTAAAATTTGTTTAGTGATTATATAAATTTTTAATGATATTCTTAAAATTTTGAAGAGTGGATATCAAATTATTTGTCATTAAGATAAATTATTAGGATAAAGAATAAATATAATAAGGATAAAAAATAAAATAAAATGAGAACTTTTAAAAACTGTTGTACATTGTAAAAAGAATTATTTCTTCTAAAAGCTTTTAATTTTGGATATTAAATAATTTGTCATTAAGATAAATTATTAGGATAAAGAATAAATAGAATAAGGATAAAAAATAAAATAAAATGAGAACTTTTAAAAACTGTTGTACATTGTAAAAAAAATTATTTCTTCTAAAAGCTTTTAATTTTTTTTATTTGTCATAAAAAAAACTCTTTTTATAGTAAAATATTTTATAAAAGTTTGTTTCGTTGAACAAGCACAATTGGGCACCCGAACGAACTTCTTCATTGGATTCTCCTTATCCATTTACAGGTATCCTCCTCTGTCTCTCTCTCCTCCTTCGTGTGTTTCCTCTCGCAAGATGCCATTTCGATCATCAACTCATGATATAATAAAGGGTTTTATTTTTTTTTATGTTGTAAGAGAGAAGTTATCTCATATTGTGAGATAAAATAAGTGGGGCCCATTAATTTAAAAAAAAAAAGTGAGGCACATCTTTTTGTTATGTAAGTATAACATGAGAAATGAATCTTATGTAACATAAGAATATAATTTTTCCCTAATAAAACGAAAAACTAGAATCATTTTTGCTTTTTTTGTTACATGTTCGATTACAAACCTATATTTCTTTGGATTCTCATTTTGCAGCATATCGTACTTTTGTATCCATTTTTCTATTCTTTCTGGAGTACTGTCGAGGTAAGGGTGAAAATGCTAATGATAGCGACCCCTGTATCATTTTGTAATAGATGCAACTTTAATCCTATAAAGTAGACTGAGACACCTCCATGTCTATGCAGTGCATAAAGAATATATTTAATAAGAAAGAAGACTTCCCACAAAAAATATTATAGCTGCATTATATTCGGAGTGCATTTACAAGGAGGAAAAGAGAAAAAAGGACCCAAAAAAATATATATATTAAAAAAAGAGAGTTTGGGATGAAAGTGTTCTTAATGCTAATGTAGATCGGATAATTCTGCAAAGTTTTAAAGCTCTGTACTAGGGATCTAGTTAAATATACTAATCAGAGTCTCATTTTTATCATGGCCTCATGGGATATATTTTTAATTTATTATTATCTACACTAATCAATGTTACACATATTTAAGTCTAAATAGAAGAAGCACTCAATTTAACAGAGTAATATAATACACATTCATATGCAATAATAATAATAATAATAAATGATAAAAACTTTGTCTAATAAAAAATGATAATAAAGCGTCATTAGTTCATATTATTATAATATTGATTACATAAGAATGTCTTCAGAGATGTAAGTAGGTATAGAGTAATAATTATGACTTTTTCTGTTTATGAAAAAAACAGTACTATAGAAGTGTATACTATTGAATCATTTCTATTTATATAAAGGGTAAAGTGTATGTTATTTTAAAGGAGGTAAAGTTATGTCATTTTAAAGGAAGTAAAGTTGTGTCATTTTAAGAAAGAGAAAGAGATAGATAAAGGAGGAGAGAGAATTGACAAAAAAAATAAAGGTGTGAGTCTCACGTCTTTGGGAGAGTGAAAGGATATAAGTTGTGTCATTTAAAAGGATAAACATTTTTCCCTTATATAAAACATGTATATTTCACGAAGTTAAAACTTGTTGGTATATTATTATGAGTAGGGATGTGCAAAATGTCCAAAAGAACCAAACCGATCCATAACCAAACCGATCCACATTTTAAAAACCGGTTATTTTTAAAAATCGATTTCATATGAAACTGTATTTTATTTTATAAACTGATTATTTACCAAACCATAAAAATAATTGGTTATCCATGGTTATCCATAACCAAACTATTTTACAATTAAAGAACAAATAAGTATTATCTTTTATCCTTAGCATTAAGATGTGAAAATTACATAAATATAAATCATTTTTAAATATGACATTATTAGAAAAGTCTCAAATACTAACAGAATTTATCAAAGGAAAATATTTCGTCGAAAATTTGACAAAAATCATATTACGTAAAAAATAGAGACGAAATTTTTTTTCGTTGAAACTAGAGACAGAACAAGATTTTGTCATAATCACTGACATAAATTTTTTAGAGACAAAATATTTCAGTCAAAATTCTTGATAGAATCTAAATTCCGTCGAAACTTTCAACAGAAACAATTCTTTCAAACTTTTCAACGAAAAATAATTCTGTAAAAAAATTTGACGAAACACATTTCCAGCAAAATTTTCAACAAAACACATTTACAGCGAAAATTTTGACGAAAAATATTTACGTAAAAAATTTTGACGAAAAATATTTTCAGCAAAATTTTCAACAAAACGCAATTACAGCGATAATTTTGACCAAAAATATTTACGTAAAAAAATTTGACGAAAAATATTTTCAGCAAAATTTTCAACAAAACACATTTACAATGAAAATTTTGACCAAAAATATTTACGTAAAAAATTTTGACGAAAATTATTTCAGAAAAATGTTTTGACGAAAAATATTTCTATAAAAAATTTCGACGAAATTTTTTTTTGTCAAAGTTCTTTACGGAATCTAAATTCCCTCCAATCATTTCCCTCAAATTTTTTGACGAAAAATATTTTTATAAAGCATTTTGACGAAAAACATTTTTGTCAAAAATTTTATCGAAATATTGTTCGTCAACGAAATTTTTTCATAGAAATGTGTTTCGTTGAAAAATTTTGATGGAAATATTTTTTATCAAAAAACTTGACGAAAATATTTTTCGTTGAAAATTTTCGATGGAAATGTGTTTTGTTAAAAATTTTGATGGAAATTTTTTTGTTAAAAAGGTTAACGAAAATGTTTTCGTCGAAAACTTTTGACGAAATTTGAATTCTATAAAGAATTTTGAGGAAATTATTTTCTGTCAAAAGTTTTCGAAGGAAATGTATTTCGTGGAAAATTTTGATAGAAATATTTTTCGTCAAAATTTTTGATGAATATGTTTTTTTGTGAGATATTTTGAGGGAAATATTTTGACTAAATTTTTTTTCCGTAAAAAAATTCGACAAAATTCTTTTTGATGGACATGTTTTCCATAAAAATAACGTGAAACAATTTCTATAAGAATCATTTCGTCCTTAGAGTTCCAAAACAATGAAGATTCTTGCAAGAAATAGTTGGTCAACTACCCATAATCGGGAGAAACAAACGATTACTTATAAAAATAGCACAATCCATCAAAAATTGATTTTGAATTTGTTAAAAAACCGGTTTTGAACTTGATAACCGGTTTATGGTTCATAACCGGTTTTGATTTAAAACTGATTTTGAATTAAAACCGGTTTTAAATCAAAACCGGTTTAAAACCGGTTTTAAATCAAAACCGGTTATGAACCATAAACCGGTTTTGAAACCGGTTTCAAACCGGTTTGGATAATAAAAACCGGTTTTTTTTAAAAAAACTGGTTCGGTTTGAAAACCAAACCATTTCAAACCGGTTCGGTTTGAATTTTGCCAAAACCGGTTATGAACCGCTCCATGCACATCCCTAATTAAGAGTGAGGATATTCTAACTACTAAAAATTTTCACTACTAACCTACTACCCATTATATCACCATTGGATCAAAGAGAGAGAATGTTAAAAAGTTTTTGAAGAGAGAGAAAATGTTAATCTAATTGTGATTAGATAGATAGTAACTTGATAGTAAAAAATTTTGATAATGAGAATATCTCTCCTATGTTACTGTATGACTGGGTACTTGTAATGATGCATATCGGTTGTTATGGGTTGACAAACTTAATTATTATTTCATATGGATGTCACCTAATCAACTTCTTGTGCCATGCTATCTATCCCATTAAGCTCTCCATTTCATGAAACGTTGTACTCTTTCGTGAGATTAAGACACAAGTTAAAATCATAACCTCTTTTAAAGAGATTGGTCCACTAAAAATATTGCATCTTGAAGAGTGATGGGGGAAAATGGAAAAAGAAAGCACTGAAGCACATAACCCAGAATCTAACCACGAACTTCAAGAAAATATCAGCTGTCTAGAATCTTATCAAACTTTTTCCATTTTTTGAAAGGATTAAAAAAAAGAAAAATATATCGCCCACCGTGGGGCTCGAACCCACGACCACAAGGTTAAGAGCCTTGCGCTCTACCAACTGAGCTAGACGGGCTAGCTGACATTGTTTCTCAATTGAAATATATGAACAATAAAGTCTTCATCTGCCCTTTACATTTGGTCTCGCTACTAATTTAACGACAAATATTGGATCACAATGGGCACATCAAGTAGGGAGCTGGGAGCCCGATTCACCTCATTTACGAAACTGATTGAATATTTTTTTTTTACGCGACCTAATGAGGTACCATAGCCCACTATTGCACTATATAAACTACAGTTACACATACTATGTAAATTGTGTCAAAAATATTTAGTTAGTGACAACACAAGTGTTACTACTACTTAATTAGTAATTTGTGACGCGTATGTACTCAATATGTAAATATAATGTTCTTACCAAGTATTATTACTTTTGAAATAAACACTAATTGAAACAGGAATTCACCAGTCAATTGGAAACTGAACTTCTATCTTAGCCTACGTCCTTTAAATGATAATTATTCGATCATAACAAAGGGGGGAAAAAGAAGACAATACTCCTCTACTATATGCTCAAATGAAGACTTAAATTTAGGCAACATAGTCTTCAAAGAAGACCAAAAAATAATGTGCAATTGGGCATGGCTATTTTTTCACCTAGATGTTACTTGTTAGTCCTACTATACACATTGAATATAAAGGCAACTAAAAATGTGAAAATAAATGAAAAAAAGTTCCTAAAAATTGAGCTGGCATCAACACTACTGAAGCACTGATTCTGAACCATGTTCTTGTGGATCATCTTCCTGTAACGGCATCTGTAAGGCAAATGGAGGTGGTGGGGGATCAACGTTCAATGTACCATCTAGTACTCTCACTACCTCCTCCATAGAAGGTCTTCTACGTTCATCCATTTGAAGGCACCAGAATGCAATTCTTAATGCACACTCTAGTTCCTCTGAATCAACACCACCGTCAATTCTTTTGTCAACCACATTAGCTGCACTCCCTTCCATCCGTTCTTTATATGCCCACTCACAAAGTTGTTCTTGATCTCTACAGCCACTCAACAAGGTTAATACTAACTTGCCAAAATCTCCTACATCCTTCTCAGCTGAAAAGCCACAATATGTGGCCTCACCATTTACTATTGCAAACCCATATTCAGATACCTTGGCCACTAAATTTTCATCCAACATGACATTCTCACATTTCAAATTTCCATGGCTTACAAACTCCCTACACCCTGAATGCAAATAACAGATGGCCTTTGCCACACTTGAGCATATTTCAACTCTCTTTCTCCAAGTTAGCCTCTTGCAAAGAGTACAATCATCTATATACTTATCAAGTGAACCATTTTTGGCATATTCATACACCAAAAATCTATGATTAAACTCACAACAATAACCCTCCAGCTTCACAAGGTTCTTGTGGTGGATGCTCCCTATCTTCAGAACAGCACTCCGGAACTTCCTTTCTTCTATGGATGCTTTCAGGTCTTTAACTGCAATCGAGCGATCGTTCGGTAGCACACCCTTGAACATATTTGGCCCAATTGGATCCTTGAGATCTCCAGTGAGGCTCTTGATTTCTGAAAAGGATAACACAAGTATGCCCTTCGAATTTGGGCATGTGAAGGCTAAAGTGACTTGTCTCATAGTAGAGTTTTTTCTTCTACAGATGCAGAAAACTATTCCGAGCTGGAAGATCGCAAGGATGAAAAATGTTCCAGAGGCTGCTCCCATTATACAAGGAACACAAAGCCTAGGAATCAGTTTTGGTGGGGGTGAATTTGTGAGACTAGGATTCACAGCAAATGGACCTGAGCACCTCTTAACAAATGATACTGAGCTAAGAGATGGATCCGCATAGCCAGTAACATACTTTGTTTTCTTTATCGAGCATTGTGGACTACCATTGTTTGTAAAGGTTGCAACCGTACACTGTGAGTCATTCAAGCACAATTGTTCACATTGCTGCAAACTACTCATGATAACTGAATCATCAGGAGGGTAAATTCCATATAGATATGTGTTCTTATATGATAGCATACTGGAGCCAGATTCACACTCATGTTCATATGGAACCAAACATTCCTTATTCTCTGTTACCTCAAAAGGGCACACACAATCAGCAGAACCTGAAGCAGTGAAGACACACATACCACGTTGACCACAAGTTGCAAAGACCTTGCACTGATTCTCAACAGCTTGCCACACTGATCTCCATGATTGTGATGTTTCAACCCATGAATATAAGCGGAGATTGCCATCAGCATCTAGCCTAAGAAACCGGTACTTCACAGAATCATTGTGGTCTTCTCCAAACACACTCCAAACAGCTTTCAAACTCAGGTCTCTAAGTTGTAGAGCTCCATCAGTTGTAAGAAATGCAGTGAGATTTGAAGCAGAAGAAGGGCTTTCACTTGTCCAGTATATAATATTACTCTCCCACCTAAGCTGCAAATGACCAGAAGCATTCATGTAAAGACTGTAGTAACTGGACACAGGATTCTTAGTAGCAGCCCTAAGTATTTGATAAACAGATAAACTCTGTCCCGGGAGAAGTGTATCAGATGGAGTATCAAAACTTTGCCAAATGATGTTTTTCTCTCTGTCTATAAGAACAAGATTGCCATCATCATGAAGAGCTGCTGAAACAACAGCTCTGTTGCCTGTTGCACTGGTCCATAGCGTGACTCCTTGCAAGGAATCAAACAGTACCAGTTCCCCTTCAGGAGTGAGTTGGAAATAGGACCTGTTACCTACTGTGACATGAGCTCCAGCAACCCACACTACTGTTTGTTGGCTATATAGCATAGACTTTGAATTGAAACGAATGCCAGCACTGAACTGGTTTGGTTCATTAGAAATGTTAAAGAACCCAAATGCAAAATCACCATTGGAGGAAACCCAACAGTTATTGTCAACCACAGAAAGTTTGGAACCCAAAGGTATCACAGCTGTCACAACAGGATGTAACAAGAAGCTAATAAAAAAACAAAGCAACAATGGTGATCTAAGGAGACACTCCTGTTCAAGCATGTCTATGTATGTTCAGAGGGACAAAGTAAGAGGTATAACGATGAATCCTATACTAAAGCCCAAGTCACATTTACATGTGAAGGATGTTGAATCCCACCTTGGCAATTATATTGTACCAAACACCTGTGAAGAGATAAGGTGAGTTAAGGTTTTTGTCAAGCCCCAAAGTTTTGTTAAGCAGCGCAATGATAAGAGCTCAAAAACACATAATTTTTCTAGGAATATTAGGTAAAGTATGATGTCAAATTTGAAGGGCTGGGAAGTAATTTTCAAAATTAATCAAAGGTGGAATAAAATTTACAAGTTTGGTACCAGAAAGAATAGTCCAAAGCTAGCTCAGAAATTCAACATGCCACCACACACTGCTACCATGAGCATCACAGAACTCAAAACAAATTGACAATGCAGCACCATAAATTTGACAAAGCAACTTGAAATTGGACGTATGACCAATAGATGCAAAAGGAAGACAGAAGATTCAGAAATTGAAGCCTTTCTTATTCTTGTTTAAAATAACAGCAAAAGATGAACTTGAGTGCTAAAACTTGGAACTTTAAGCAGAGATGGGACCCAAATTAGAATGCAATCACTTTCCAAGGTTCAAACTTTTAAGAAACAAAAAATAGCCTTGTGGAAAACGATATTGCACAAGCGCAGCCTTGAATGCCGCTGATTGATTTCAATAACAAGACTATAAGATGAGATCAACCAAAAAAGAAAGAATGAAAAGAGACAAATTGGCACAAAATTGCTGCTAGCTGAAAAGAGTTAGCTCGGCATTTTCTGAGTTAAAGAGAGTGAGAGAGATCTGAATAAACCAAACACAGTGGAAAAGCCTGAGCTCAGAACTGGGGAATGTTCAACTTGAATGGACCAAATCTCGCGACCCAAATCGAAATTTTCTTCCTTTTTTATTTATTTGAAACTTTTCTTAGCACCCAACAACTTAGCTGAAAAGGGACTGGACTTAAAAGAGAAGAGAGTGAGTTGAACAGTGAGGAATGAACAACACAATTGTTAAGTGGATGATTGGTTGGGAAAGGACATGAAGTTGAAGAGTATGAGTAACTGAAAGGTTTGGGTGGAAGTGAGTGAAAATGGGGTTGCTTTGAGGATGCTGCAAGTACTTCCTGGTTTTTTAGATTTGAAGCATGAAAGGAATGGTAATGGGTAAGAGTGAGAATAGGGGTAAATGGGACAAGGTTATTTTTTGATAAAATGGGGTGAAGAAAAGGAACAATGTGAATGTAAGAGTGAGACTACGAGATAACGGGTGAGTTGCTGGATTAGATGGTGATGGTGATGGTGAATATGAAGAAGAAGTGAAGAACATGAAACAAAACAAGGTGAGGGAAAAGGGTTTTAAGGGAATTTTACTTTATTATTATTGCTCATTTTTCTTATATTTTTATTATTGAAGGAAAAAGAAAAAAGTTTGTAGTCTACGAGTGATTTTTATGTGCTCCGGGGTCCCGGCACATTTTTTTTTATGGGGCGGACATGAGAGAAAAAAAGAAAAAATTGAAGAAAGAGAAAAGAGAAAACAAAAAATTTGGTTTAGATGTCAATTTTTAAGTGTAAGAAGCATGGTGGTCCTGACCATATTAAAAATTTTCGTAGACTATAAATAAGAACGTACTTATTTTAGTTTAATTTCAAAATATATTACAATTTTATTTTATTAAAATTTAAGAATAATTAATATTCTTATTTTGTATTTTAGAATCTAAAAGATAAGTCATTGTTATTTTTTTTGTTATGAATGTCTTAAGTGTTTAAAGTATGGAGTTTTTCATATTTTTTATAATTATTTTTAATTATTTAGTGAATTTATATTTTAATGTATTTATCTTATATTTTATACCTTGTTGCACCGATCTCACTCAAACTACTTATGGCTTGTCTGAAGCACATGATAAAGAAGATAGGACAGGATAACTTATCATATTCTACTTTTATCTCTTATTTACTGAATGTGCATAGAATTAGGATAACTTATCCTTCCCAATAGGGTTATTTTTTATAGACCGGGCCGGGTCACTGGATGAACCGACCGGGTCATCGATTTTTACGAAAACCGGCCGGATCGCACGGGTCACACCGGTTCTGTAACATGGCCGGTCCAATATGAAAATCGCACCGTTACATAACTGGTTCACGGGTTTCTGGGTCGGTCCGATTTTTATAACATTGGTTATGATGTTAAAGTTGTACTTTTTTTTCTCTCTTCAAAGAGTTATTTGTTGACGTGAAAAGTGAAAAAAAATTATAACTTTAATGTTATAACTATATATTCCTAGGAATACATAGTTATAATGCGGTGACTCGACAAAACCTTATATTCAGTGATTGGACACCAAATGGACCCATATATATATATATATATATATATATATATATATATATATATATATGAGAAAAATGTGTATCATTTTAAAGGATATAAAGTTATGCCATTTTAAGTGAGAGAAAGATATAGATCATGAGAGAAAGTGGGAAAAGAAAGTTTTAAAATTGTGAGTTCCACCACTTTGTGAGAGTGAAAGGACACAAGGTGTGTCATTTAAAACGACACATCTTTTTTTTTTCTTTATTTATTTATTTTCTTATATTAATTGATTCACATTTAAATAGTTATTACTTATTATTCCATTTTCTCTCTCTTCTTTTATTATCATTGATCCATAATTGTATGATTATGATTTAGTAGCCGGAGATAAAGTTATCTAAAACAACTTGAGATAATCATTTATTGACGAAAATCAACGGTTAGGATTTGATGTCAAATTTCAAAGTTTAATACCGTCAAAGGATCCTGCCTTTATATGGGGAGGGATCTTTTGACTATAGAGTAAGACTTACAAGTCATACTCCTCATCTCAACTGTTAATTCCGTCCATGTAACGGTTATCTATACTAATTAATTAATTATTAATTTTAAATAAATAATAACTGTTTGATGGACGAAAATCAACGATTGAGATGGGGAGCAAGACTTGTAAGTCTTACTCTATAGTCAAATTATCCCTTCCCTATTATATATATATATATATAGGTAAAATTATTTCTCTGGCGGCTAGATGTTCAACAATAAATCTTATACTATTGATTAATTATAATTCTCCATATTTATTGTTTTTATCCATATCTATATGGTTATGATTGTAGAAAAGTAAAGCTGATGTATATATTGTTCCAAAACCATATGAAACAAAATAACCCTATGGAATTGGCTAGAGGAACCCTAGCTGCACTCAGACAAGGGATAGAAGTCACCCTTTATATAATTAACAAAAGGAAAAGATAAGTTTATGTTAAAAGCAAACAATAAGATAATCTTTAAAAGATGCAAAAGCGAAGAAAGAAGGGAGATTCTCGTTTGATCTCTCCACTTTTTCTCAAAAGAACACAAAATTTTTAAAGTGTGAAAAGTGCTCGTTGGGTGCATGCTGCTTGCAATGTAGTAATAAAGTGGCCTTTTCCCTTCCTCGAATTCTCAATGACAAAATGGACCCACTATTAAACTCGTTCATGTCTTTGTATGGGAATAAATAAAGTTTGATAAGGTATCGTAAGTGACGGAATACTGTTTCAAATCTTGTGGAGATGCAGTGATTCATGTTTTGGAATGTAACAACGAAATGGGGCCTAATTACCCACTTCAGCTGTTCAACAACTCGTACCCGTGATTCATGTTCTTGTTTTATCTAAGTTTGTCTATATATGATTTGATTAAAACATAAGACTAATAAGAAAGAAGCATTCTTTATGATTAAGTGCTTTGTTTAATTAAGGGTGGTACAAAAATTGTATTATAGGCATCCTTGATAGTGTTTTGCTTTTTCTATTCTTAAAATTGTATTTTGTAGAGTAGTTCACGAAACAACTAGTTCATCCCCGAACTAGTTCCAACACGAATAAATCGATCCCTATCATAAGAGTGTCCTCTCCAGCCACCCTCATTATTTAAACCACCCCCCGGCCATACCCGCAGATGCCCCCGATGAGCCACCAATGTTAGTATTAAATTCTACTTAAATTAATAGTAATTCTCCTATATTCTTTGAGCTAAATAGACTAAAATGCAGGTAAAAAAACCCAAAAAGGTGTGTAAAATAAGTCCATTATGAAATTTGGACTGATATGGCAATTTTGTAAATATGCTGATATTCTTTTGCCATTTAATTACATGATAGCAATTTAGCAGAAGAAATTTGATTATAAGTCATAACTGATTAATTCAAAATTAAGGGATTAATATGAATCAATTTCAAAACTGAATTTGGAAAAGTTTAATTAAATTCTACCAAGATCAGATTTCATTAAGATAATTGCTACAACAGTTAAAACGCACACATGCAATTTTTAAAAGGAAAGTTATTGAAACGAGAATGCTAGAGTTTTAATCTTCATTCTTACTCATTTAACACGTTCTTACTATTCTTGTTTCAGTTTACACTTTAGAAATTAAATTTTTCATTAAAATAGCCATTACATCCACCTTCAAGAAAATTGAAAAAGAATCAATAAAAAAAATTGAATTTCTCGTTCACTTGTGAACAATACTTGAATTCTTTTTGATTCTATACTTTTTACAACTACCAACAACCAGCAGGGCTTCGCATTGGTACCATAGCAGCTACAGATCTAATGGAAGGGGCTGAATCATGCTGAGGATCATCAATATGCCTCTGAAAATAAGCCACCAGCCGATCAATGTCCTCAAACATCTTTTTCAGGAACCTGAATCCTTTTGGGTAAAGCCCAATATACTCATGGTGTGGATTTGAACTTCTTATATAAGTTAATATAAATGTATGTGCCAGGATGATCATGAGCAATGCCAAAACTATAGACTATGCGCATGGGATTCTCGCCTTTCTCCCACTTCAAAAGTTCATCAACTTCCAACTTTGTACCCCTCCTGAACTTGCGATAATTTAACATTGCCTTTAAGTGAGTCACCAAGGGATCAACATAACGGTCCATAACCTAAGCAA